CCATGCAGCTTCGACCTCTCTCTCTCTCTCTCTCTACAGACATAAGTAATAGTGTAGATTATAACATAAGTTTATGGAAAGGAAGGAAATTTATGATTGTTATACCATGGATAAAGCTTAACTATGTTGAAGCGGCGAAGTGTTATAGCACATGTAATGAGGGGAAGAATGAGAGTAAGGGAATCTGATATGTAAAATTGATTGGGGATTGAATCGAGTAAAAATGGCTTAGATTGTATGATTTTTGTTTGATTAGTCGCTGGATTTTTTGTTTCCATGACTTGTCTTTCTCCAAGAAATGTTGGCTTTTGAAAAAAAGTCAACTGTTTGGCTTGTTGCTCTTGGTTTAACTTTTCCAGTAGGGCACAACAGTTCTTAAGGAATATACATGCTTCATAGTGATTTCCTCCCTTAGGTATATATATAAATGTTAATCACTTAAAGGTGTAAGATTATTTCATTCTATTTAATGGTCCTTTTTGTTCTCCTTTTTTCCTCAGGCTTTAGATAATCATTTAAAATGCTATAAATGAATTATGGTGATGATGGGATAAGAAGAATAATTTGTGTATACCTTTCTTTCCTAGCACTATCATATTTTTTTCTTTCTTCACGAGAAAAAGAATTAGTTTCTTAATCAATTCATTCAATCTTACAATATTCTTGCTTGTGATTTCTCAACATCTAATTACATTTCAAATTTTCTGCCTGCAATTGCTTTGAGTTCTTGTTTTGGGATAAAAATATTCTGCTGGCTTCCTGAGTTCCTTTCAATATCGTAAGCAATAGGGGCTTGACCTAACGTTGGTGATAGGAATTTCTAACTGTTTAATGGATATGAATCACGAGTAAACTGCTTTTATCTATCCAATGAGTGGTTTGATTAGTCATTTAGATGAAGTCTAATTATTTAAGAGTTAATTTAGTTTTCATATGGATACAAGTTAGTTGTAACCATTTACTATTAGTCATCTAAGTAAGTTATTTCCCATTACCAATGGTTTAATGATTAACTCAAGTAGAAATAATCAGTGATGGAGGAGGGTTGCATCCTCTAGAATAGCTAGATTCTATTTCTAACAATTAGGATACAACGTTCCCATTGTTGGAACCATTCCCTTTACTTCTAGTTTTTAGTGAGAGAGAGAGAGAGAGAGGGAGAGGGAGAGGGTAATATGATTGCTGTCTTTCTACATATTATAATTGCTAAGAGTGTTGAGCCAGGCTTAGTCCTTGTATTTTCTACATGAAAACCGTGAGGGGATGCTTTGTCTGCCATTCTTGTTGTAGGGTTTTAGTTTAGATGGTTTAGAGTGTGTTGAAACTTGCTTCACCGTTTTTTAAAAAATAACCAATCTTTGCTTCTACATTGTCTTGTATTTTTCTATCCAAAACTAAATTCTCCTCTAAGCTATTGGGTTGGAATTGACTGGCATTTATTGAAATATTTTACATGCTTTATTCTCTATGATGCCATATGATGCTCATTTTGTGCTAGCGCTGGACAGTTGATAGTCATGTTACTTTGTGGAAAATATGCTAGTCTATTTTATTATGACCCACACAATACTTGGTGTAGTAATCCTTTGAGAAAGGTGAGTGATTGAATGATTATGAATCCAAATGGCTTAATTATGATAAAGATAGTGCTTTTCGGTGAAGCATTTAGTTGTCTTTGATATCATGACATCTTGACAGCATGAATCTAATGCTTATTTTATTGGTTTCATTTTTCTAATTGGTGAAGATGTTTAGTTAAGTATTTTGTCTTAGTATTTTGCATGTATCAAACCTCTTTCTGATACTGAGAAGATGCAGGCGAGCATGTAAAAGAGGTTATAAATACTCTCAAGTTCTTACATAAAAGTCTTAGGAAATGGAATGTGTGATTTATACTTGCTTTGGGTTTTATGTTTTCCCTTCTTTCTTTTGTAATCGATGAGAAGTGCTTTGGGTTTTATGTTTTCCCTTCTTTCTTTTGTAATCGATGAGTTGTTTTAGTTTTAATAGATCCACTTTTCAATTATTCTGTTGTTATTTATGTTTCCTTTTTCAAAATGCTTTAGGAGCTTTTTATGTTGACTGCATAGAATAATAAAGTTAGTCCTGGTCTATTATTTTATTCATACCGCTTTTATCAATTTTTGTCTTCAGATTCCTCTTCTCTAGCCTGTTGTTAGGCTCTTTTAAATAAAGCACATTGCAGTATTTCTGATTTCTTTTGAAATGTTGAATATATTTTAACTTGTCATATTCATTCTTGTAGCATTCTTTCAGCAGATTTTGTTCGAGCAGCAATACATGATGTCAAAGCTGCAGATTCTTTGATATTGTCAAAAATAAAAGCAACTCCTAGCATTATCATCAATGGTCTAGAAGATGAGGTATTTAGTTACATTTTTCTAAAACAGAATTTTCTTTTTTTCCCCCTGGTTTCAAACCATTTTATACTAGTATCTGGGTTTCCATGCAGCTTCCTTTAATTTTTTTTATAATTGGATGCATCTACATCTTTCATAAAAAAATGGTCTTATGTTTTCTTTTTAAATTTTAGAATTTGTGTATATTTTTGCCCTGATATTTACCTGGAAATGTCTCTAAAATTTGTACTAATGGTCTGGATATTCAACGAATATACATGAAAACCAATATATTAAGTCAAATATTTTCTTATATATTGATTTTAAGTACCGCAATTTCCGCTCATGTTCTTCTTTATGCATTTTATGAAATCAAAATATGTATATAAGGACCAGCTTTACTGATAGTAGCAAAAGTGCTATAAAAATGCTGTGGTGGTCAAGGCAGTTTATTAGATCTGCTTTTTCTTTTTTCTATAACCTATTTTAATGACCCTTTCACCACAGCTACTTGACTGCACCTTTTTGCCAAACTTTCACCACAGCTACTTGACTGCACCTTTTTGCCAGTCCTGGATTTATCTATTTTATAGAACATTAAAACATTTTGAGGAATAACAATATTTTATGACATTTTGAAGGATGTTAATAGTTTTATGGCTTATTTTGTCTATATTTATTTTTTACAGAAAAAAAGTTCTATTCATCAAGAGAAATGCATTTAACTTTTTCTTGTTCTCCAAAATGTAGGAAATATATTTTCTGAAAGTCGAGGGTATCATGAATTTTTTCCTTACGAGAAATTTTGGCAACATATTTTTTAAAACCTTGATGATTTCAATGCAATTCCAAGGACATGAAACACTAATGTGATGGAGCTTGTCTTGAGCATTAACAGGGAAGGAAACTAGCTGTCACAAGAGACAGCTGGTAAGATAATTGGGCCTTCGAATTTGATTTTGTGGTAACTGTGGGAAAGGATTTTGAGTTATTAAGAGGAGGCATGAAAAATCATGACATCTTTGAGTGAGAGATAGCTAAAGAATCAAAGAGTTAACTTAGATCATTCAGAATAGCTGATGTGAGAAAAATAATGGTCTAACAATAATTTGTGCAATAGCTTGGACAACGCCATTGACTGAGAGATAGTTGAAGAATTAAATAGTTAACTTATATCATTAAGAATAGGTGATGCAAGAAAGATGGTGGTCAAGTAACAATGGGTGCAATAACTTGGACGATAGACTGACTGGGCATATGCGATGGGTGAGAATTGAGTGTTTTTGCACATACACATGTGAGGAAGGTCTCAATTTATAACGAATGAGAGGGATGCGTTACAATTATGGGTGAGATCATAGGTTAGCATGATA